CATATAGAATAAATATTAATATGACAGAGGTAAGCCCCAAATATCTATTATATCGAGAAACATGTGGGCTTAACTTCCCTACCAAAAGAAGGAATTGTTCGGATGACTCACAAAAGACATCTCGTTTTATGCTGTGTAAGACATAGTGAGTACAAAGTTATTCAGGAAGATTAAAATAAAAGAATGAGCAATGATATGCACAGAATATGCAAAAAAGAAAAAAGAGAAAAAAAATAAGAGTCATGATAATGTCTCACATGTAGAATTCAGAGCAAAAAGCATTAGAAAAGACATAGAAAGGTAGATTATAGGTACAAACGGGGACAATTCACAGAGAAGATATGTGTTATGCATTTCTGTGTGCCCAGTGACAGTGAGGCGATTTCATACAGCAGAAAATGCAGTAGGTTCAGAGATAAATCAGCAGAAATAGTAATTGAGTTTAGTTCTCCTCCCAGCCCAAGATGTAATGAGATGAAAAGCCTAAAAAAGGATTTAGAAAATTTAAATAACATTTTCAATAAAGTGGATGATATGCACAAAAATTGAATTTTTGTCTGAAGTGGAAAATATGGCTTTAAAAAAGTACTTATGGAACCTTTACTAAAACCGATCATTTATTGGGTCACAAAGAAAAATTTATTGAAGTCTAAAGAATCAATACAGAAAGCATTGCTTGACCACAAAACAACAAAAGAAAACTCCACTGAGAAAGATTTAAAAACAAACCTGTTGAGTTAAAGAAGAGGATAAAAACAAACAAAACTGCAGAATTTCTAGAAAACAAGTGTTACAGGTTGAAGTGTATTCCCCCCAAATTCATAACTTGAGATCCTAACAGTACCCAAGAATGTAACCATATTTGGAAATAGGGTCATTGCAGATGTAATCGTTAAGATGAGATCAACTGGAGTAGTTTGGGTCCCTAATCCAATATGTCTGGTGTCTTAATTAAAAAAAAAAAAAAGGCAAAATGGGACACTAAGACATACACACAGAATGTCATATGGAAATGAAGATAGAGATGGGAGTGATGTTACTTCAAGCCAGTGAACACCAAAGATTGCCAGGCAACCACCAGAAGCTAGGGGAGAGGCAGGGAGCAGCCCTTGAAGGAAGCAATTCTGCTCATGTATTGATCTCAGACCGCCAGCCTCCAGAACTATAAGACCATACATACTGGTTTTTCAGTCACTCAGTTGGCAGTCCTTTATCCAAAACACTGAAAACATCACTGCTATTTGTGCTTAGTTGCCCAAATCTCCAATTAGACCATATTTCAGGGTTTACTACCCAGTAGATGCTCTAAATATTTTTGAATAAATAAGTCAACCATTAAAGGAGAGTAAATTAAACTCTCCCTACAGTCTCTTCTAACTCAAAATTGTTCATTTGTTTGTGTGCTTATTTTTGTTTCAATTCTGGGGGAACATTAGGCCTTTCAAAAGCTCCTAATCTGTATGTCAAAGTAACAGGATCTTTGAAGTCATTGAAAAATACATTATTTTTCAAAATACCAAAATGGTGTAGAAAGAACACGCGTTCATTAAGATCACTTCTTGAGGGCATCTGAGTGGCTCAGTTGGTTAAGCGTCTGCCTTTGGCTCAGGTCATAATCCTGGAGTCCTGGGATCAAGCCCTGCATTGGGCTCCCTGCTCAGCGGGGAGTCTGCTTCTCCCTCTGACCCGCCCCCCTCTCATGCTCTCTCTCTCAAATAAATAAATAAATAAAATCTTTTTAAAAAAAGATCACTTCTTGAGAAACTTTTAAAATATAAAGAGGCAAACCATTAAGTAATGAGCTCTCCACAAGAGCGAATAAATGAAATGAAGCTGTGAGGAAAAGGCATTGCTCACCCTCCCCTATATTATGGAGCAATGCGATGTAGCCGTCTGGCTCTAGCCAGAGCTCTCTAGCTCTCCCAGAGCCAACCAGCTGTGTGTTAAGCCCTGCTGACTGTAAAAACTCATGATGTTAAGCCCCTCTGGTTTTCAAAGCCAAATATGGTGGGGATTTGTCTTCCCTGAGTGGGTTCTCCTTGCCTGCTGTGCCTGGTGTGAGGTCTGTTCTACTCCATTCTCTGTGCTTGCAGAGTCCCTCCCTCCTGAGGACAGTCCCATGGGTCAGCTTAGTTCCGAACCGAGTCCCTGCCCTTCCTATCATTTTTGATATGGCCTCGTCTTTATGTTCAGCTGTGGAGAGTCAGTTCTGCCAGTCCTCAGGTCATTTTCTGGGTGATTTACGCTGATGTGGGTATTATGTAGGTGTATCCCTGGAACGAGGTGAATTCAGGATCCTCCTACTCCCAGAAGTCTCCAAGATAGTTTTAAAACTATGTAGCAACAACAACAACAAAAATGTTTACATAAAAATCAGCTATAAACTATTACTATTTTTATGTTTTCTATTTTATATGCAACTATTGCTTATATTGTGTATAGTTCAGGCATTGAATGTAGACATTTTTGTATCATATTCTATCTCTCTAAAAAATTATATTTTCTTTATTCATCTGTCAACAGACACTTAGGTTGTTTCCCTGCATTGGTTATTGTGAACGTGCTGCAATGAACAAACAAGTGAGTACAGAGATCTCTTCAAGGTAATAATTTTGTTTTCTTTGGATATATACCCAGAAGTGAGATTGCTGGATCATATGGTAGTTCCATTTTTAGTTTCTCAAGGAACCTCCATATTGTTTTCTGCTGTGGCTGAAATAATTTACATTTCTACCAAAATTGTGCAAGGGTTCCAACATGGAGTAATTTGAGCATCAGAAAAGGGGGATCAAAATACATATATGCTAAAATATACAGGTTCACAATCAGAATCCCCCCCAGAATTCTTTGGTCATTTTTGGAGGATGCTAGAGAACCAATTCATTACTATGTGCAGAAAACTGGTAAGTAAAGGGAAAGAATAAAGCATATATCTTGCCTTTCCTTTAAAACTGTGCCACAAGGTAGCCAAATAGTGAGGAATGTTCTCCTTTACTGGAGAATTTCAGCTAATAAATGTAGAGAAAATAAAAGAATCAGGCTCTCACTTGCAGCCTACAATAAAACAATGATTCTAGGCAATGGTTGCTAAAACCAGTGACTGAAGGGCTAATGGAGAACTCAGAATGGACAATGTGGCTGACAAAATCTGATCTCACTGATCAGTCTTAACACCACAAAAGAGATTCAGCCAGATGTTGTGATGCAACAGGAAAGAAACAGCGGATTCTTACCTGAATGAAATCAAGCCACTAGACCAAACAACCAGTATAGAGGAAAAAAAGGAAAATAAATAAATATGTAGGTTAAAAGCAGGTATTTTGGTTTAAATGAACACCAGAGCATAAATCAGAAAAACTAAACTTTGGTTCAGGATTTCAACATGAACTAGATGTGTAATGTTGGACAAGTTATTTAATATCTCTGGGCTTCTGTATCATCTGTAAATCATTGTATATACTTTGTTAGATACATTAATTATCTTCTTATAGGAAATCATCATTCTTCCAAATCATTTGATCTTATGGTTTTTTTCCTTTTGGAATATCAGTAAATTTTACAGAAATATAAAATTGCAAAATCAGTGGATAATTAGAATAAGTATTGGAAAAAGAGTTTTTTTCTTTCTTTCTGAAATTTTTACTAAACACCCTCAAACTGTATTACTAAGCTTTAAAGAAGTATATGAACTCAGTGAACTTAATTTTTTTACATGGAGAACTTCCTTCTTTTTTAGACAACATAGATATGCATGTTTTCACTAGCATTTGGAATTTCTTTTACTTTCTGTATATGACATTAAATTGTCATAACTTAGAATATTAACTTAAATATAACTTATAAGAAAAAAGAACAATATAGAGAAAATAAAAAGTAACAAATTAAATTTATTTTTTCAAAATAATTGCAGTGTTTCTATGCAATAATAGAAAAAGCAAAAATTTCTTAATTATATAGATATGTGTCTCTTTAAATGCTGACAAATGAATTTGGGGATTGAAAATTATTATTTTGCTTCCTTTGATCTTCCATCCCCCACTTCACATAAATAGCTTTTGATTTCTCTCTCTCTCTCTCTTTTTTTTTAGTGTGCCTTTCTATGTACCTTACCCTCATAGTTTACTACTGAATGTTCATGGAATTAAGCCATTGGGGTCATTTGGCTTTAGCTTCCTCATTAGATTCTTCAATGTCCCTGGCTTCACTCTTTGCATATAAACACATTTGTTATTCTTAATCACTTCCTTTAATCAATCCCTTACTAGAGCATACTGCTTAATCTTTGAAAATCCACATTTGTATTTTACAAAAATGGAAAATTCAGACTTCTGCTGTGTGTGACACACCATTAACTGCACAAACACACTCTGTATCTGTTATGTTACTATTTACTGATGTGTTAATGTAATAATGACCCATCTGCTTCTGCTGTCTATGAGGTACTTTCTATCTATAGGGATGGAAATTAATGACAGTCTCTCTGAGATGCCTGATGTCAGAGCTGGGAAAGGTGTGAAGCGTATATAAGAGCTGGATTACTCATTGGCAAGTGGGGGACAGAGACTCTAGTGGATGCAAGCTTGGGATTGTTCATGAAGCTTTCTTACCATTAGAGGCATTCTCTGATTTTGCTGACACTGAAACATTAAAAGGTAAAGAGTTTCCTGTTTATGGGAAAATATTATTTGTTTAGGGAAGAGCAGATTTGGGATTAAACATATGGCTTATTTCAAAGAAAGCCTAAAGGGATAAAATGGTATAATAACAACTTTCCAGATTGTTTAGAGAGGGAAATTGGGAAAGTGAAAATTTTAAAAATATTTGAAAATTGTTTGAGCAGTATCAAGGGACTGTATCAATAAAACTACTATCTTTGGAGATTATGTTTAAAAAGAGATTTTTTTTACAGTAGGTTCTAGTCTCAAATTCCATCAATCAGAGCTATAAAAAATTTCTTGATTTCAATGCTGAATTATTCTTTTCAGAAAATTTGAGAAGCAATGTGCCTCCTGAAGCTGCCGGTAGTTCTCATTGTAATCTCAGTTGCATTAAACCATCTGAAAGCTACTCCTATTAAAAGGTTAGTGTCTTAAAAATCTTGTTTTCTTTTGTAAAATGTGGGAAAATTAGAATTAAAAACTGCTATATAATTAACAGCCCTTATGCCAATAGATGCATCCTTCTGACAGAACTTCTGACAGACAGGAATGGATAGTTCCAGTTTTGTCAGGAAATATGCTCTTGGAACCTAGAGGGGCAAAACCAGAATACAAAGCTGGAAAAGCCAAAGGGTAGTAATTTCCACTATATTAACCTGATTCTCAAATAAACTAGAGAAACTTGAAACATATATTCTATATCAGGTGGGATTTTATTGTATATTTACATAGATTTTTTTTCTCTTAAGAGGGCTCTGGCAATATCCAAAACGATTACATCGCCGTCTGGCAATTGAAATACATAGAAATAATCAGGGAGCAAATTAATATTTTTAAGAACTAGTTTAAAAGCCATTGGCTCCTAGGGGATTCTTTCTATATTGTTAACTGTTCTATGAATGAAATAGAATTATTAAAAAATATGTTCTTCATGAGATTACTTCTGAGCTGCTCTAAATGTAAATTTATACTTCTTAAAAATGTTTTCAATAGGTAGCATGTGCATCAGAATTTCCTAAGAAGGCTTATTTCAAAAGGTGTCATGTCATTTAAGTGGTAATTTTAAAGAAGTCTAAAAACTCTGTCAGGTGAAAATGTTAGCAATAATTACAACTTTCAAGGGGAAAGAACTGTAATTCTTTGTTTATTTAAAAGATTCTCAAGTCCAAATTCATGCATATGTCATAAACAATATAGTTGAGGATTTGTTTGTGCCTAAATCAGTTTGACTCCTCATAGTCTTGTAGGACTGAACTTACACACTCTTTAAGACTGAGTAGTATTAAGGTTACTTTTGAAAAGAGTTTGCTTTGGGATGCATGGGTGGCTGAGTCATTAAGTGTCTGCCTTAGGCTCAGGTCATGATCCTGGAGTCCCAGGATCGAGCCCCACATCAGGCTCCCTGCTCCGCGGGAAGCCTGCTTCTCCCTCTCCCGCTCCCCCTGCTTGTGTTCCCTCTCTCGCTGTCTCTCTCTCTGTCAAATAAATAAAATAATAATAAAAAAAAAAACAAGAAAAGAGTTTCTTCAATTCACATTAAAACTTTTCTTGTAGAATTATTAGTGTCTTGTCTATTTTCCTTTGAGGTGTTTTTTTGTTGAGGTGGCAGTCTATGGTGATATGTAAAGAGTTCTACAGCACCCACGTGTAATAAATAACAGGACTCCTCAGATTTCTTTTGTCCCTTCAGGCTTATTGAATTTACAGGATGTTCTTCTCAGAATTAACTCTAATTTTCGATTGGATTTTTGTGGGTAAAATAAGTGAAACTGACATGAAGTTTCTGATAAACCAGCAGAATAATAGAATAACAGGAAAATAGCAGTATTATCTAGTATTTCTGTCTATATCTTGATTTTTTTTCTTTCATTAGATATAGACATTTGATAAGCACATTTATCCAGTATGTCTTTATGTATATGAGTTTATTATGAGGTGAACTCCACTCATAAATAAAATAGTATATCACATTATTTATTTTCAAGTTATTTTCATGTTAGTCTCACAATCTCTTAATTTGAATCTTTATTAGAAATACTGCCAAAGCATTCTTCAAATTACTCTTTAATGAATTTCCAGAAACCAGTATGTCTGATCATTTTTTTTAAAGGGGGAGAATTTATCATCCTGAGCTGTTCAACCATGTAATATTCTATAAATCTCATAAAAAGCTGTGAAAGCCTATGTAGAAAATGACTCAAATCTCACACACTTTTAAAAGACAAAGCTGATATAGATTTACCAATTTCATTTTTCTTATAAAATTTAATCACCTCATTTGAGATCTTTTTTAACTTCTATGTCTGTATGAGATGAGATTAAGAGGAAACAAAATGACTTTACAAACCATCCCCAAAAATATTTTATACTCTTGACTGAGGCAAAAGGATTACACACTTGCCCACCAACTTTTAAACACTCAGTAAATATCTGCCTAGCAGATAATCAGAGGTTAACCAATAGTATAATTACTTCCACAAATGAATATTGAGAACTGGAGCAGGGATACAGTTTAAAACTGTTTTAAAAATCCTTGAGGGGCGCCCGGGTGGCACAGTCAGTTTTTCCACTCAGGTCGTGGTCTCAGAGTCATGAGATCAAGTCCCTCAATAGGCTTGGTCCTCAGCACAGAGTCTACTTGAGATTTTCTCTTCCTCTCCCTCTGCCTCTCCCACTCATGCTCTCTCTGTGTCTAAAATAAATCTTTAAAAGCCCTTGAAACTGAGATGTTTTTAAAGAGAGATAATATAAGAGTGATTCTTCAGTCTATAGTCATCACTGTTTAAACTCTTAAAGTTAGGAATTTGTGCATGTGTGTAGCTGGTCAATGGGTTTGAACTAGCGTCTGTCACTAGATGCTAGGCAGGCCTTGTCTGCCCAAGTAGTTAAAGAGAAAAAAAAAATGCCTGAAAGTAGGGGTGTGATGCCTTTTACTAACCATTTCAGCCATCTTTTTCTATCTTAATGATAGTTTGGGAAAGAATCTTGTACATACTGATGTTATATTTACAAGAAAAGTCTTGTTTGGGAAAGCAGTTTCATAATAATGAAACAAATCAACATAGAAACTCTTAATATTTCTTATAAGTGGAATGATGGCTCTTCTAGCTAACTCAAATAAGATATCATTTTAGTTGGAATAATTTTAAGTATTGTTACAGACCTTGAGACCAATTATCAAAGTACTACTCAGACATTTAGCACATAGATTAGTTCATACTCTGCTCCAGGCATTTGCAAAATATATCTTGGGACAGATATCACTTTGAACCTTCCCAGTTTGGCCCATTATTTCCTTTATTGCTTTAAACTTATTATTTTGAAGTGTTTGGGTCAAATTCTAATTTCTGCTTTTTTCAAGAAAAGCTTATTCTCTTTTAGAATTAAGAGATTTATGAATTATTGGTTTAATTCTTAAAAAGCATTAAGTCATTCCTTGGAAATGTACATTGGCCATGCTTACTACACATGCAAAGAGAAATAATTAAATAAATAATATGACTAATATTGACATATTAGACCAGGTAATTAGGTCCCAAAATGGGTTTCCTTTGCCTGAATAATAGGTTTGTCAGCATACACTTATATTCAACAATACCAAGTTTACCTGATGCCATAAGAATTTTCTATATTTGGAAGAGTATATGAGCATAAAAACCCTAAAGATTTACATGAGATTTAAAAACACTCTTAGGCTATCCCTATAAAGAGATATAGACAATGAAGTATTCCCCATACAAAGCAAACACATTGAGATCAAATCTATTGCATTTTGCCCCAAATTATGTATAACAACTTGCTTCTGAATGTAGCTTCATATCTATATCTCTTTCCCAATTTACACTTATCATAAGTTTTACTAATATTTCGATTTCCATGGAGCTGAAAACTAAAATATTTCCCTAGTTTTCCTAATCATGTGCAAAAAAGGGAAGCATGTTATTATTCTGTATCCATTTCTAATACCATTTTGAGAGCACACTGGAACAAAGGGTGGTACAAAAATATAGAGTTGACATAAATTCTGAAATATAGAATTTATATATATATATAGTTTATATATATATATAGAAACAAGAGTTAACATTCAAATGAATTACTTAACCATAGTGATAATTTCTGACTTACCTGGAATATTATTATGTAACTGTTCCAGGTGGTGAAAGAATGTGGTGAATACTAATACTATTAAAATAAAAGTCTTTCGTTTTTAACATTCAACATAGTCCTATCATTAAAATTGTTAAAAAGAACCAAATGGGCAGAAGAAAGATAGTAATGCTCATGTATTTATGTTAAGAGTAATAGAACTCCCAATCTACAACTGTGAAAGTGCATGAACCAGTGATAAATTTGATTCCCCTTGAGCGTTAATGGTACCTGGCATTTCTCTCTCAATACCCCTGATTTAATGATCTCAGGGAACTTAACAAAAATATCTTATACTGCTTAATTTTCATTGGAAAGTTGTGGGAAATAAATATATATATATTTAATTCCACATATTCCAGATTACATATAAATTTTATATTCTAAATCCTCTTTATATATTGGGAACTAGATTTATCAAGATTTAGAAGAATAAAAGAAGATTTAGAAGAATGTAAGACAAAGACATGCTTTTTTATTATTATTACTATCTGGAATAACTGCTGAAATTTCCATGGATCATACTGAGAAATTCAACATTGACTATAACAGATGTTTTGTTATATGATGTCCCAGACAAAAATTGCTTCTGCTCCATCTTCAAGGTGTCAAAAAATCTTGGTCATCCAGATGTTTCCAAACCAAAACGTTGAGTTACTTACATGAAAATGTTTCCTTTAGTTTTTATCAGTATGGGATATCTGTTGTCCTATAGAAGTATGGGTTAGCCTGGTGATGGGTATTAAAGAGGGCATGTATTGAATGGAGCACTGGGTGTTACACGCAAACAATGAATCATGGAACACTACATCAAAAACTAATGATGTATGGTGATTAACATAACATAATAAAAATTTTATAAAAAAGGTGTATGCAATCTGAGTCTAAGGCTCTAACTTTCCATATTTGTTCCATGTCACCAGTCACCAGATGGAAAAGCGGAAATGCAACACTGCCACACGTGCAACTCAACGCCTGGCAAATTTCTTAGTTCGTTCCAGCAACAATCTTGGTGCCATTCTCTCACATACCAATGTGGGATCCAATACATATGGCAAGAGGAACACAGCTGAGATTTTAAACAGGGGACCACTGAATTACTTTCCCCTTTAGAGGTCAATGTATCTCTACAGTTCTTATTGTTTCATGTATAAATATCCTAGTGACTTCCTGTGTAATTTAACATTAGCATGAACATGAGTTTCTATGTCCCATGTTTATTGCCAGTTCATATAAATTGTCATGGTAAGAATTGTTTTAAATTTAATGCTAATTAGAATCCCATAATAAAAAAATCAATGTCTTTAAAAATGAAGTGTTCTTGCTATCAATTTTTATTTTAAAAACATATTAAAAAGTCATTCTTTTGCCTGTATCTTTATGACCTGAGTTTGAGAATGCGGGGCGCCTGGGTGGCTTAGTCATTAAGCGTCTGCCTTCGGCTCGGGTCATGATCCCAGAGTCCTGGGTTCGAGCCCCGCCATCAGGCTCGCTGCTCCACAGGAAGCCTGCTTCTCCCTCTCCCACTCCCCCTGCTTGTGTTCCTTCTCTCGCTGTGTCTGTCTGTCAAAGAAATAAATAAAATCTTAAAAAAAAGAGAGAGAGAAAATGGTATTTGGAAACTTGGTAAATTGTAAATAGCTGAGAGTAAAGTTAAGAACATTAAAAAAAACAGCAATTATAAGGACCCTGTTAAACAATTTCTTTTTTTTTATTATGTTATGTTAATCACCATACATTACATCATTAGTTTTTGATGTAGTGTTCCATGGTTCATTGTTTGCATATAACACACAGTGCTCCATTCAGTACGTGCCCTCTTTAATACCCATCACCAGGCTAATCCCCCCACCCCCCTCCCCTCTAGAACCCTCAGTTTG